AAACTCTGCACGTGCATCACGTTTTTTGTACATTTCCTTGCTGTCACTGCACGGCTACGACATTTGTACAGGAGAACACAAGAACGACGACTTTTTTTTCTTTTCCTGAACTTCGATACAGACTTTTAGAATTCAACTCCAGAAAAAATTGCCAACATTTGACGAATTGAACTAGATGGAATAAGCGTGATAAAGTTTGAAACAGCGCGACTTCTTTCTTTAAGTGACGTTTTCGTGGCCGTCGCCGTCTTTGTTGCTTAAGCTTCCTATTGAGAAACACGTGGTCGTCTCTGCTTTCACAGCTGGTGGGAGGGGGTGTGAGGGAGAAGTAATTTGAAACAAAAAGGTTCAACAGTTCTTTCTGAACCAAAGTTTGGACCCCCCAATAAAAAGATTCCAGGATCCGCCCCCGGATTGTATGCTTTACTTTATTTACACTTGCTGAAAAAATGAGGTTTTTCACACAGTGACGCTGGCGACTCGGAGGAAAAAAAATACTAGTCCTCTCCTTCTAGCTCTGATCCAGATGCTCTGTCACTGAGCTATATGAGTCTAGTGCAATCATCCTACACACTGTTAAAAGCGGAATGATGACAGCTGACATATTCGCAATGATTCCTCGCGAAGTGACGAAAATGAAAGCATACACAACGGCTGAGGAGAGAGACTGACACGCTGCACGTAAGTTTAGCTTTTACGGTCGGAAACTTAACTCCGTTAAGTTAACCAGTTGAAAACGTTATAATTGATCAGTTATCTAAGCGGTATTCCTTCAAATTGATTAAACCTATTTACTTTAATTGGAAACATTTACCTTCTGACTTTACTCTAAGAGGATTACCCTTTGCTTACAGTCCATAGACATCCCAAAAAGCACGAATTCGGCAACTTCGACGTCGCCGTGAAAAATTGAGAGAGAAAAAACAATTTAGCAAACACCGAGCAGAAAAAAAGAAGAAGCAAGTACTGAACTGTAGAATACTCGCTCAAAAAAAAGCACTTTACCAATTTGCATGACTGAAGCCTCGACCCTTTCGGCAAAAAGATTAAATTTGTTGTAGAAACTTTCGTAGTCCTTCAAGTGGATGAAAACTCCTTTCTTAATTCTTTGATGGAAGACATTTAACCTTTGACTTAACTCTTAAGTGGCTTGCCGTCGACACCCGTAAAAGCACGAATCAACTTCGAACTCGTCGTGAACGACTGAGAGACGACATCAGCGCAATGAAATAACAGACTCTAAAATGGTGGACACTTAGGATGACATATCTCATACTCAGGCTTTCAATAAAGAGGCGAAAACGAATTTAGATGATGACAAAAGCTTTGACCCTTTTCGCAAAAGGTTAAGACTGTTGTAAATAAAAGTGAGGGAGCAGGTTGAAGGACGTCACGAACTTGGACAAAACTGTCCATGATTTGCGCCCCAAAAAAAACAATTTTGAACTTCATGTGTCATGCGGTCTATATTTGTAGTCATCAATATGAATGCATATACTCGGGGAGATAACGAGAAGTCTAATGTGAGAAGAACGTGCCTTCTACCCCGCGATAAACCTTTAAAAAAAAAAGGAGAGATAGGGAGAAAAGGTAGCTAAAGAGACATATTGAAACAATGTCGTAATACCAGGGAGATAGCATGATCTCAGGCTATGTGTGCCTTGAAATTGCACAGTCGCTGAAGTGGTCATGACTTTCCTGCAGTTTTATGGCAGTTAGATTTCTTAAACCTAGTCAGTTATTAATCAGTGTGGAGGCACAATTGACATATGTATTGTACTACTAACTTCTGAGTCCTAAGATAAAACCCCATTCTGCACTGAACCCCAAGGTGGAACTATTAAAATTCAAACTTTTCCAATTAACCTGAATACTTTTGTATTATACTTTGCAATATTCAGAACCTAGAAAATGACTTTTGGTACCTCTTTTGGGATTGATTTCCCTTGCACGTCTTGTGACTGAGTGATAAAGGGGCAGAAAAGAATCAAATCGAGTACATTCAATAAAATCCCGTAAGTGAGAACCTAGCGGTTCTAAGTGAAGAACCTGCATGTCGGCTAAAATTTGCCAGTGTTAAAGTCCTTGTTTAAAAATTAAAGCATTAACCTTTAGGTGATCATTTTCTTAATTCTTATAACCTGTTGTTTTGACCTTGTATTAATGTCTTTAGGAGAAAAGTGATGTCGGTCGCTCTTGGGATTTAAAGCCTTTGGCTTAAAACTAGAGTAATGTTCTTATTTTCTACAAATTTGTGCTAACCTATTTAGGCTAAATTGCGAAGATGCAGGTTCGTACTTGAAGGTTTTTACTAGAACTGCATGTGCAGTGGAAGAGGTTACTGAGGTAACATACAAGGAAACTGTCTCCAAAGCCCCATGCCAAAGTCAAGTAGCTGACAATGGCCGAAACTAAGAGAACGGTTAGCCTGCGTAGTACAGGCGTTTCACGAACAGGCTGACGGTTCTCAACGGCAAACATTTTGAATTGTGAAAGTCTCTCTGAAGTTCTATCATCAGTAATTATTCCATATGAGCCCAAAAATATCTAATTCTGAAAAAATTTTGCTCTTCATGCTTGTAGAAACGTAACAAAGCTCAGCTGACCAGACTGAAACGCCAGCTGCAAGAGGCCAACTCCCGCAACCGACGCTGGAACGATGAGGCCTGTCGGCTGGAACAGAGCATCGCACAGCTCAGGAGTCAAGTGGAAAAATAACAGCCAATGAAATAACCCTGAAGTTTTTTGCACCTATGTTCCCGGGTCTGTTCTGATTGACTCACGATCACCATTAATTTCCTCTAAACAGTTAAGTTCGAGAAAAAAAGCAATGAAAAACCCTCCAAGATCAGACGTCAAGCAGCTCAAGTTCTTCAAGTCATGCGATTTGTTTCACATGCCTAATCTTTTTAATTTCTGAGACGCTTCAAACTTGTTATCGTGAAAATATCTCATAAGGTTTTGAGGGCACAACTTAAAGACATCAGTACCCTCCTCTCAATACTCTGGATCAAACATTCACGAATGTTTGCAGGATGAGATCATGCATTTCAGGGCTGGAATCAGAGCACTAAAGAATCCTACGTGTAATAAATACATAAACTTAGTCTTTTATTATAACTGCCAAAAGAAGGGGCAGTGCATGTATTCATTGAAGGAAACTGATAACTTACTATATTTAAGCGTTGTCTAAACAAGAAAAACGGGGTTAAGGAATAAGATAACCTTTTTCTAGTCACGGTTCATGAAAGTCTAAGTTATCTTTATAGTTTGAGCAGAATAAAGTACATTCCCATACAGTTTCTAGTGATTCTCAGTATTCTAATTAGGAGATCAAGTGGAACACGACTTATGCGAATACTGCCTTATTTTAACACGTCACTGTGACCTTGGAATTAATACATGTACATCTGACAAATTTAGATCCCGTTCAGCTCTTGTGTATTATCGATACTTCCTCTGTGGTTAAGAGGTATATTTAAAGCGTACCGCATTCCATTAATATCCGCTCTAGCTTGCAATCATTGCTATAGTTACTTATAAACCCTATTTTGTTCTTTATTTGAGGCTCAGAACTAATTCAGAATAGTACGATTCCAAAAACCAACTGTTTGCACTGTGTGTGGATGATCTAGGACTTACGCAGTGCGGTACAGTTCGTGAGCTGAGCTATAATCGTCATCGTACGATCGTCAATTGCCAATCAAGTGCGGTTGTTGCTTGAATGATCATGAAAGAGACGATTTTGTTGATCTTAATGAAAAACAAATGACTATTCTTCTTACATTACCACGGTCAAGGTTAAAATTGATATTCCGTATTACTCAATGGTTAGAAAAATTTGTCGACTAATAATATTGAGTAATTAATGAAGGATCGCTTTCAACTCTGACCTTGAATCGTACATCTTCTGAAAATCAATATGAGGTCTATTAGAAGAAATACTCCGTTTTTCACCTTTGTTAATTATCACTTTCCATTCAAAGTTAAATCTTGCCAACTAATTAATCTCTTTTTGCAACAGTATCATTGTAAAGTGTTTACGAAAGATACGTGGTCTATTTGTTTCCAATGTCATACTGTTTTTATTGTTTAACTTTGCAAACTTTATCTTCTTTCTACTTGAAGTTTGTACAGTAAGAACGCATAAAGATGAATCAATGAAACAACTTTCTCCTTTACTTTCTCTCTCAGCTATGCCCAGGACCGTCTCAAATGACCATAAACAGACCCCTTTTCCCTCTGACGTCCTTGGATGAAAACACCGGCTGTTTTTCAAGGTTGAAAGCAGCGGCGTTTTTGACGATGTTCGTCAACGCGTAAAATGCCATCGGCGTCGTCACCTTACTTAGAGAGCCAAGGTTACTAGACATGTATTTAGTCACGCAAGTGTAACTAATTACCCAGTATGGGCCGGATGGCACGGATAAAGACAAGTTGTCACTGAAGAACTTAGACATGGACTTATGTCACTCTCTTCTTTATTACTGATTAATTGCATCTTCGCCTCACAGTTCGGGCTTCACTGCCAAATAGCTGCAAAGTCAGGTTGGACTTTGCAAAACAAACAATTAGAAGAAGTATCTGCATTGTTTACTTACAATAGGGTATAGTTAAAGTAGCGAACGGGACAGGGGGTGGGAGTAAGGGGTGCAAGGGCAGGATACAATCACGAAATCACTTTTGCAACCCTTAGTTACAGTACTTTTCTATAAATGCTTCAACCAAATATCATTTACGGACGTTTTTTTACTCAATTCTCAAGTGGCTTTGGTTTTATTCTCCAAAACCATACTGCTGAGACACGCTCGGCCTGTTTGGAAAACAAACAGCGCATGTCAAGTGTGACTTTGCGACCTTGGCATTGGAAAATGTTCTCGTAAACAACCAAGGTTACAAACAGAACAGGTACCGTATAAATACCACACAGAATGCTGCACTGATGTAACAAAGTGCAGTATACTAGGACAAGCCCATTACCCTAGCTATACGCAGTCAACATGGAAGTCACTTTCCTCCAAGAGAGCTCAATGCTGTATTCAGTTGTTCTATGCTGCTTGCCTTTCATCGTCGTGTTACTTTTCTTTGGCTGGTCTAAGGTGCGGCGAAGAAACACTCCTCCTGGGCCGTTCGGTTTGCCTCTAATTGGCAACTTATTCCAACTGGGAGATTCTCCACACATCGCTCTAACAGACATGGCCCAAGTTTATGGAGGCGTCTTTTGCATCCGTCTTGGTGCGAGGAAGGCCATCGTTTTGAACAGCCACGACGTTGTAAAAGAGGCCCTCGCGAGGAGGTCTTACCATTTCTCCTCGAGACCGCCCTTTCACAATTTCCTAATTAGCAGCAATGGAGGTAAGAGCATAGCGTTTGGCTACAGTGGTCCTTTGCATAAAAGAAACAAAAAACTGGCCTCTCGTTCCCTACATGCTGTTTTCAGCGATGTAAAACGTTTTAACACTGTAGCGCAACAAGAAACGGAGCGCTTTTGTAGAGAGCTGATAGAAAGCACTAGCGGAGCTCTCGACTTGACTAGTTACATCAGAGATCTATTGATCAATTTTACATTTAGACTTGTGTTTGGAGATAACTTTAAAACAAATTACGTGGCTGAATTCCAGAGCATCTTGAAGAGATCAACTGCCTTTATTGAGAACAATGCTGTCGTAAACTTGCTCGACTTTTTCCCGTGGCTTCACTTCGCTTTTCGAAAGCAGTGCAAGGCTTTGAAAGCCTCTGTAAGGGAACTGATCGACTTTGTGGGGAAAGTTTACAATCTGCAACGCCACGCGAGTGTGGAAGACGCTGGCGTCAATGCTGCTGCATCGTTGGATAAAATCATCGAAGAAGAAATTGAAGAAGAAGTTAAGATGCAGTTAGACAACGACTCTGTAGTCACAATTGTAGCTGATATCTTTGGAGCAGGCATCGAAACGGTGTCCACAGCGTTTCACTGGGCGCTGCTCTTTATCCTCTCTGACCCTGGCTTGCAGAAGGAGCTGCAAGCTGAACTGAAGCGCGAGATAGGAACAGATCGCCTTCCCACTCTTGAAGACCGCGCAAGGCTGCCTCTGCTACAAGCTACCGTACTTGAGGTTCTGCGTAAAGCTACTGTTGTCCCCTTAGCACTCCCACACTATACAACTGAAGACTCAACTGTTGCTGGCTACCATATACCCAAAAATTCCACCGTGATAGTGAATCTCTGGGCTTTGAGCCATGATGCAAATCACTTCCAAGAACCAGAGGCTTTTAATCCGTATCGCTTTCTTGACGAGGCTGGGCAGATTCGGCTGGATTTGCAGCCGCTTTTCCTTCCTTTCTCCATTGGTGGAAGGCGTTGCCTCGGTGACACCCTAGCAAAGGCTGAGCTGTTTATGTTCCTGGGTTGTATGCTGCAGCTTGTGAATCTTCAGCTTCCCTGTGACAGTGAAAAACCTAACCTGCATGGTGGAAAATTTGGATTAACTTTGAAACCTTTCCCTTTCAAGGCTCATGTAGTTCCAAGAACCACTGAACAATATGAACATTAGTTCTTTAAGTCCTAATATCTACGTGCAAATTCTCCAGACCGCCTCAAAGGAACGTTTGAGAGAATTTGAAAAAAGATCAAAGCATTTTTCCTTTGGAGATCATTTTATTAATTCTCATAATCTTTTCTCTTGATTATCTATTAATATTGTTGAGAGACAACTGATGTTAGTCATTCTTGGGACTTCAAGGGTTAAGACCATTCAGAAAGAAAGCTTTATAATCATATAAAAATTTTTCCTAACATCGCAGATGACTTAGTAAGTTATAATTTAAACAGAGGTAAAAAGATATCTTAGGTAAATTCTTAAAAAAAGCTTTGAACGAAAACTGAAACACATGATTCAGTTGGAGACGCTATTTTTTTTATAAAACATACCTATTTTACTCACTTATTGAATTAAGTAGTCAACTTAAGAAACTGAAATGTTTTCATGTCATTGTAGCTCGATAAACTGCTGACTGTGTTTACGGAAGAAAATAACGCGAGACAAAAGATGGATCTCGAAGTATTTCCAAAGTGACCAAGGTCATTTCTGACCTTCAGTGTTTTTCCTTAGCCTTTTGTAGATGTGCATTTGCCGATTTACTTGCTTTGACTGGAAACTTTTGCTAACTTAAATGGTTTGACAAAATTTCCTTGCATTAAAACTTACGTGTTCGAAACATTTGTACACTGAGCGTATCGACCCAGACCTAACCTATACAAACATCGCATAATCAAAAAGTATTACAGGAAAGTTGGCAACGAGATCAAATTAATCTAATTACATTATTTTTCTTACTTTCTCTGTGCCTTTATTGGGTTTTGTTTTGTAATAAAATGCCTTGTGAAGACCACTCTGTATATTTATTTGATCGGCTAGTCAATTAATAGGAGTCTTAGAAAAAGAGACGTTTTTCCGCTTAAAACCCCCTTTCCTACTAGAACCGGCTAATTCCTTATGTGCTCGTTAAGCCCCACCCAGGGAGTTAGGGAAAAGAACTAAGAATCGAAATGACTCCAGCGTAGCTCCGATATCTTGAATCGCGTAATCTTTCAACACATCTAGCTAGTTGATGTTATCGTAAGGCCCCAAGGTGACGGGTCTATTAATTATTGTTCAAACTGAATTCAATATTTCAATTGAACCGAATGAATGGTACAAATCTGCACGAGTAAGCCACGTGTCTATCCATCCACCGACAATAATCTCGTCACGGTAATCACCAAATGACGTCATTGAAAAGAAACAAGGCACTAAACATCCGCACAATAGCTAACTATCTAAAGGAGGGGGAGGGGAGTGGGGGGGGGGGG